AAAGCCCAACACTAATAATAATAATAATAATAATAATAATAATAATAATAATAATAATAATAATAATAATAGCCCAATAATAAATAAAGACGACTAATGAAAATGAAACACGCTAAATACGAAGATGATCATATTTATTTAAAAATGCTATCGCGGTCTCGTCTCCATCATCTTCCCCCGGTTGAGAAGAATTCGGTCGCGAATCCGAACCGGTCTCGTCGCCGTCTGAATTATCGCCCGCGAAAGGCACCAAATGCTTGAAGTTAAAAACGTCAGAAGTGCGAATGTGAGATAGAAGGCGAAGATGGTAAGCATTGGGGTTGATTTTCTCGAGAATCTCCACCGGCCCGATTTTACGGGCAGCCAGCTTATTAAACTCATGAGCGAGAAACTTGTTTTTCGTGAGAACTGCCCAAACGAAATCATCCACCTCGAACTCCACGTGGCGACGACGTGAATCGAAGACCCTTTTGTAAGCTGCTGTCGTCGACTCTAAACGAGCCCAGGCCGCGGTGTGCGTCTTCAACAGGTCCGACACCATGTCCACCGCGCGCCGTTCGACCCCACCGGAAGGTGGTAACGTCGCCAAATCGCACGGCCCCCGAGGTTGGACGACATACACTAGCTGAAAAGGAGAGAAGCCCGTGGCCTGACCAATGGCGGAGTTATGAGCAAACGCAGCCTGACACAAACGTTGGTCCCAACTTCGTATATTGTCCCAACCAAACAACGAAGCAAGTTGCCCAACGACCGATTGACCACTTCAGTCTGGCCGTCCGTCTAAGGGTGATAGGCGCTGCTGAAGTCGAGACGTTTGGCAACCATACGCCACAAGCTCCGCCAGAAATAATTAAAAAATCGAGTGTCGCGGTCAGACACAATAGCCGACGGTAGACCATGAAGATGGTAGATCTCTCGGAAAAAAATTGGGCCACGTGAACAGCATCGGTGGTGCTTTCACGGAATGAAGCGCACCATCTTTGAAAAACGATCGACCACCACAAAAATAGAATCAAAGCCCCGCTGTGTACGAGGCAAACCCAACACAAAGCCCATGTTGATCGACTGCCACGGCTGGGACGGAATCGGGAGAAGCCTGTACAAACCCGCGTTAGTCGCTACTCCCTTCAAGACCTGGCAAATCCGACACCGAGCCACAAATCGGCCCACATCACGCCGCAGGGACGACCAAAAATAGATGAGGCTAACTAGCTCGACGGACTGATCACGACCCACATGCCCGGTCCCATGTAAGTCGACAATGAGTTTCGGTCGAAGGCTGCACTCAGGAATACATAAACGAACTCCACGAAAAAGAAACCCATCTGACAAGGAATAATCCTCGTAAGGCCCAACACGCAACTGACCCAAAATCAGCCCAAAAAATGGGTCATTTGAATACACGTCGCGCAACACCTCAACGACCACTACCGCCACACGCATCTTGGACAACATGAGGACACGTCTGCTCAAAGCATCGGCTACTCTGTTAGAGGCACTCGACCTATGGCTTAGGACGAAGTTAAATTGCTGTAGGAACGCAGTCCAAGAAGCATGCCTCGTCGAAATATTATCTTGAGAGGCTAAGTGCCGGAGCGCCTCATGGTCGGTGTAAAGCACGAACTCTCTGTAAAAAAGATAATGTCGCCAATGGCGAACTACAAGAACCACAGCATAAAATTCAACATCATATGTATTGTACCTCATTCTCTGGCCCGATAGCTTCTTACTGAAGAAGGAGACTGGACGTCCATCTTGGCTAAGGACAACACCAATCCCCAACTTCGAGGCGTCGCAGGAAAGTTCAATAAGACGAGAAAAATTCGGTAAGACAAGCACCGGCGCCGATGTCAGTTTGCTCTTGATAAGAGCGAAGGCCTCTGCGGCTGCCTCAGTTCACGTGAAAGACTTCCCCGTGAGACAGTCAATAATCGGAGCTGTTTGTCTCATTTTTGTTGCATTTTTCGTTGTCATTTTGTCCTTTCTTTTTTTTTCCATATTTGGTCTTTTCGTAAGTTTTTAGGTCGTTGTATAGTTTATTGCGTGTTTTCCTTGATTTTGGTTTTTTATTTGCTTCTCGTGTATTTTTCCGGTATTCTGCGTTTTTATCACTTTATGTTGTGCAGGTAGGGTGCATCGGTCGATTACAGTTTAAAGGTGACAATTATTTTGGGAAGCTTAAATTGGTAGAAGAATGCGTTGGCGTCGCATCGGAAAAAGCGGAATAAAAATCCAAGTCGGGCGAGCTAGAAC